ATGACAGGAAAAACAAACATGTTAACACAACTGTGAATCTGTAATGGCAGAACAGTTTTTATATGCTCAGAATACAAATTTAGAAGTGTGTCTGATTGAAGAAACTGAAGCTGTAGGTTTTGTTTAGTTTTGATTTGCACTGGTGTCGTCTTCTTGGTTGTAGAAGGAGTTCATTGCGTATCTTCATGTTAATGTTTTATACTCTGGATTTTACTCTTAGTGTTACTTTGGCTGTTTAGTTTTACGACTATCCCTTTATTCCTTATTTATCATCCATGTCACCTGTTGTACAACAAACTATTTAAACCTTTCCATCCACTCCCCCCGTCGCTCATGTTGTTGAGTAATTGAACAGTTGAATAATTTAATGTTAAATTCAGACTAAGGAAAATGTAACCGGAATCTGAAAACACACACCTATTGTTCGGTTTGCACACGTATTGCCACCTGTAAACTGTTGATTCATCCCTGTAATGAATACTTAAGCTAGCCTGCCAGTCTGTCATTGTCCCAGTGGGACGACGTGTACATGCTCATATCTGTGTCGTCATCGCCCCCCCCCCCCCACCGCTTTTTTTCCGACGCCGGTGTGCAGATAAGAGAGAGAGAGAGAGAGAGTGTGTGTGTGTGCGTTTGAGTGGGTGATACTTCAAAGTCACCACATTACCAGTCTGCATTTCTGTGCCCTCAAGCCGTGTGTGTGTGCGCATGTGTCTGTGTGTGTTTTTGGGTGGGGGTTGCTTGTGTTAAGGCAGGCTGTGCATGTTTGATATGCTAACAATGGCTGTCACGCTACCAGCGGCCTTCTTCATGTCACTGCCTCCCCTTGCTGGAGATAACAAGTTATGTGCCGTGGATTCTGGTCAAGTTGCATCTTAAACGGTTCCAGTTCCTCCTCACATCCCATCTGTCCTACGCTCAGAGCTTAGGGAAATCACTGGGCTGATCGTTTTTTCTTTTTTTTTTTTTCCTCCTCCTTTTTTAAAGAAGTGGGGCAGATGAACTGAAGTCAAACATGAGGGAGATGGTGCATCTTGCTCTTCTCATCCTTTCTGTTCTTGCACTTTTCTTTGAGTTCCCACCATGACCCCGTCTCTCACCTGCCCTATCGGTGTTTCTCTCCTCCGTAATCACTTCTCTCAGCTCTCCTCTCTCTCCTTCATGTTCCTCCTTTGCTTCTCCTTGCCTCTCATCTCTTCAGTAACACTCCACTCGTCTCTGAACTTCTTCTTCTTCCCAGCCTGCTTTTCTTCTGCCCCTTCACTCACCTTTTTAATATTAAGCCAGCTTCTTCCACATCTCCTTATCCTCAGCTCCAGGTGCTGGACAGTAAAAGGGTGAGGCTGTTTCATTTTCACTGCACTACATGTATATTGCAGGTACTACATGTGATATACATGTCAGACACCTGCACGTAATGAAGAGAGCAGTAAGAGTCTTAACGGCCTGTTCTGGAGGGGAAGAGATTTATAGATGTCCATATCCATGGGTAAATACATGTATTGAATTTTTTTTTTTTTTTAAGTCTGCTGCTTCAGTGCATTCATTCACTTTAGACTGGTTTCTGCTAATTGTGTGAGTATGAAGCCAGCATCATGACCTCGACATCCTGATCGCTCCGGTTCTTCTCTCGCCGTCTCTCAGCGCCCATTTAAAATAATTGACTCCTGGTTATGTTTGCAACAGTTTTTATTTTACTTCAATGACTGTAGGGTTTCCTTCTCTCTACTCTACTATTTACATAAGAAATGAATATGAAATTGCTTAATACACTGTGTGTTATACATTTTAAGTCACCAGGTTAATTGATTATGGCTGCAACTAGGCTTGATCGATCATGATTTGTTGAGCTCATGGGAGCTGATGAGTGTTGAAATGGTCTGTCTCGCTCATTGTTGGTTTAGCTCACAATTTTCATGAGTCACTACGTCACAATATCATGGTAAAAACTGCCCCTCCCCCTGCCTCAGACTACCATGTTTTTGTTCTTGTCATATGTTGTAGATAAATTGAATAATCAGTCACAATCTGTGTGTGTGTGTGTGTGTGTGTAGAAACTCAGGCAGCACTGCTGGTCCGAGCACTGGAGTGAGGCTGATTTTATGAAGTTTGATATTCAACAGCTGGAAGCACTTTTTTGATGTCATCAGCTCCGTGTGGATGGCATCAAATATTCCCTGAGGGTTTCTCTTGGAGAGGCTGACCGGACCTCTTCACTGCCTCTGTCTTCCTCTCCAAAACAACCTCTGGCTGGAATTCCCAATTGTTGCCGTATCCTGTATCCAGCAGGATCCAGGTTCTGGTTTTCTAGTCGTATGAATCATTTTCATTCATCACTGTTTTATTGGTTGTGCGGAGCAGACAAGCTGAAAATAGTTTTTTTTTTTTCCTTTTTTTTCCTTCTTTGTAATTTCTACTGAATTATTGCTGTAATATTTGAACTATGCAGGATACTCGGGCTGAGAATAAAGTGAGAAACATCTGATTCCCTGGTTCCCAGCAGCCCTGCTCCCGGCCACCATCACCACCCTGACAAGTCTATTACACATACTTAAAAACTCATACCTAATAATAGACTTGGACTTGAACTCAGACAGACCCCGTACACTTAAAGTACTGTGGATACACACACCAGATTGAGTGACTACAAATTTAGACGTGTGTGTGGTCCAAGCTTGGCTGCAGTCGTTGAATTGCAGACGTACAGTGCATGTCACTGTATGTTTTTAAGATTAACTGGTCACTGTGAATCTGCGTGGATATCTAAAACACAGCTAATTATCCTCTCTTCGTCACTCATCAGTTTTCCTCTCTCTGCCCTCTCCTGATCCCTGTGAATCATCTCTCTCTAGCTCGTCTCCTAATTGCCCGGCCAAGTGTTTCCCCACTGATGGTTAATGCTTGAGGAGTTGCCAGCAAAATCTGCTCGTACATTAGCAGTAAGGGCTCGCGTATGTCATGCATGCGATGCAAGACGCACACAAATAAATGTCAGCTTGAGCGGTTGATGGCTACTGAGATTACAATTTCATTGTTCCTTACTGAATCATGCCGTGTGATAAATAGTCCCTTCATTTGTCTGGAAATGGCTCCATGCATCATCTCTGATGGTATGAATTAATATTGGATTGTCGAGCTTATCACTCCCTATGGGTTGTGGTCATGCGATAGCGCTCTGCAAATGAGTGACTTGCAGCAGTGCACGTTGAGTTGTGTGTTGCCCTTTTCATCACATTGGCATCAGTTACATTATTTTCCCGTGTCTCCTTTCATCTCCACAATTCACAACGTATTTGTTTTGTATAGTTTAAACAGGAACATTATTGAAATGCAGGAAACGCCGTCTCGTGTCGTGCAGACCGGCGGAGTCCTGCATGGGGGGGGGGGGGGGGGGGGGGGGGGGGGGGGGGGGGGGGGGGGGGGGGGGGGGGGGGGCGGGTGGGGGGGGGGCGGGGGGGGGGGGCGGGGGGGGGGGAGGGGGGGGGCGGGGGGGAGGGGGGGGGGGGGGGGGGCGTTATCTAGTTAAAGCCGTTTCCATTTGTTGCATTTCAAAGTGTAAAATGTACAAATCTCATTTCAATCCCTTCATCTCTTCATCTGTTTCAATCTAACACACACACACACGCACACACGCACACACACACTGCATCTGTGCATGTTTGTGTGTGTGTGTGTGATTCAAGCCTCCCCTGGTTGATCTGTAGCAGTTCCCTTCTGTACTTTCCCTGGAAGAGTCATGTGGAGTCCTTTTCTAAGAACCAGCGCAGTGAGAAAAACATTCCAGGGGTTGCTTATAGGAAGGACTGATGTCAGTAAAGCAGATTTGGATCAGCTTCTCTCGGCTTGTTCATTCAGGGAAACTACGCATCAGGTTTGGAAGTAGCTAAGGGCTCTCAGTCTGCTAACTGTGGAATCTCAGCATGCACAGGAAACATTTTCTTATAAATACTGATAAAATATGAATTGCATCACATTTGTTTGCTCGGTGAAGATGGGATTGGCTAAGAAGAGAGAGAGCGCACACTGAAGTCAGCAGCGTGTTTCAGCAAATCCTCCCTGTGTCGGAGTGTGCCTGTGCCAGCTCTCATCGCTAGATTGCTGCAATCTCTTTTAGAGCACAGTTTGTTGTTTCTCAAATTATTGTCAAGATATCAATTTACAAACAAGCAGACGCATTCACACAGGCAAAAACTCAAATGTTTTGTGTGTTCATACTTTAAACTGGCAACTAAAGGCCACAGGAGTGCTGGAGGTGAAGAGAAGTTCATCCTTCATTTCTCCTTCCTTGTCATGTCTCCTCCTCTTTGCAGCTCTGGCTGGAGGCCAGCGCTGTCGATGCCATCTTCCCACTTCTGCTTCTGCTCCTGCCAGTCTCTGTGTTTTTACATACTTGCACCTGAAACAACAAGTGTTTTTTATTTACCAGGCTTAAGGTGACATCTTCAAGTGTTTTAGCCAAGCAGCTTTCCAAAATCCAATGACATCCAGTTTAAATTTCTACATTATATTTAGTGTCATCATCAAGGTAGTTTGAACAAACTTTCACAGGTGTTTCTTTATTACACAAGGAAAAAAAACAGCAAATCCTCACATTTGAGAAGCAGAAACCATGTCATGTTTGAATTTATGCTTTGAGGAAAAAAGTTGCAGATTAATGTTTTTAAATGATTGACTAATTGATTAATCAAGTAATCATTGCATCTCAGTGTGATGTAGGATCATTTTAATTTGAGGTTTTCTAGCTATTATCTTGAATTGATATTGAGAAACTTGTGAATTTATAGTTACATTTGGACAAAATTATTTAAAAAATGCATTTTTCAATTGAAAATGCTCATGGTCTGTATCAACTTTAAACCTGCATCAGTTTACCTCTACCCTGGACTAGTGTATAAAACATTAATCGGTTGTTGTGTCCTCACTGCTGATTAACCAAGAGCCAAGATGTTAAAACAATTTCACACTGTACATTAGAGACACGTTTCCTGTTTGTGTTTCAGGAGTGTGGTTCCCCCTGGCTGAAGAGACACGTGTCCAGCAGCATCTTTCCACCCAGGACCCACTGTGTTGCTACTGCGCCCATGAGGTAACGTCCGGACCTACCGCCCCCTCATTACCACCCTTGGTCCATCCATCTCCCTCCCCTCTGTCCCTTCCTGCCCTGGACCTACCCAGCCATGGGCCAGAAGATCTCAGCCAGTATTAAGTCAGTGGATGTAAGAGGGGAGCCCTCGTATCATCCGGTGCGCCGCGAGCTGCGGGGCCCAGATTTCTGTCGGCCCCCCAGGCTGGACTTGCTGCTGGACATGCCGGCAGCCAGTCCTGAGACTCAGCTTCGCCACGCCTGGAACCCCGATGACCGGTCCCTCAATGTCTTTGTAAAGGAGGACGACAAGCTGACGTTCCACCGACACCCAGTAGCACAGAGCACAGACTGTATCCGAGGCAGGGTGGGCTACACCAGGGGCCTCCATGTTTGGAGGATTCACTGGCCGGCCAGACAGAGAGGCACCCATGCTGTCGTGGGCGTGGCCACCGCTGAAGCACCTTTACACTCAGTGGGCTACATGGCCCTGGTGGGCTCGGACTCTGAGTCCTGGGGCTGGGACCTGGGTCGGAACAGACTCTACCACGATGGAAAGAACCGGCCCGTGTCCACGTCGGCGCCCACGTACCCCTGTTTCCTGGAGCCAGACGAGTCTTTTGTGCTTCCAGACTCTCTGACAGTAATACTAGATATGGATGAAGGGACGCTGAGCTTCATGGTGGACGGACAGTATCTGGGAGTCGCTTTCAGAGGGCTAAAGGGCAAGAGACTGTATCCCATCGTCAGTGCTGTGTGGGGACACTGCGAGGTTTCTATTCGCTACGTCAACGGACTAGATCGTGAGTGACACACACACACACACACACACACACACACACACACACACACACACGAAAAGCCAGTCAATCACAGTATAATATTTAAAAGTGACTGTACAGGGGTTGTGTAAGTTTAGCAGTTACTTAAGTTTTTCTTTTGGCTGCCACAAAAGTTGGTGCCACTGAAATGTAAAATTGTAAAAGCGAACTTTTGTCATGTTTCTGCAGATCTTGTATTCGATGTAACGGTCTTCACTCATTGGCCTCAACACCTGCTAATTCCTTCTGCTGCTTGTTTGCTGCCACAAAGCTGCACATTGGAGCCGTATGATTTATCAAAATCTGTTAAATGGCAGCATTTAGAGAAGCAGCTTCCAAAGTGAAAGTTTTTTTTTTTTGTCCTGATAATATGGGAGGTGGTAAAATGCCATCGGTGTGTGTAGAAGGTTTTTGCCTACATACATAATTGATGTCAAAATGCATTTATCTCTGTGACCTTTCCAGGCTTAATACCTGTGTCAGTTCAGCATTCATCCTTATTATCAGAACAGTAAATAGTGAGGGGAGGAGCGGTTCGGCTTTTAAGAGTTTTTTTTTCTAATGAGCAGCTTTGTTATTTTTGTATAAAAATTACAGACTGAGGTCATCAACATAAAGTGCAGCATAAACCGAACACACGGCACACTGCTCTGTTCATTCTATATTCATGTGCCTGTGCAAAGAGATGAATTTGTCCACATTCTCAGCAGCAAGACGAGATCGACTTGCAGGAACGTCCCCTGCTTTAGAGAAAATGTACCCGGGTCAGCGAGGTAACATTGCACAGGCAGCTGGGCAACATGAGGACACTAATGCTCATTGCTTTTCCACCGTGCAAGTCGATCTGCATCCATGTGCTCTCCTCTGTAGTAAAGAGCTCTACAAATAGCTCTGCGATGGCAGATTATTTCAGGGGAGCAAATGATGTCTCTGATGCCTCTTGGTCTGCGAAGGACGAACTTGCCACCAGGGTTTCACTCTGTCGACCCTGCAGAATGACATGTCAAATAATACATTGAGGAGTTTTGAAAATATGAGCAATAAAAAAAAAAAGTTCTCTACTGTGCAGTGGGGAAAAGGCACAAATACAGTGTCTTTGTCTTTAAGAAATAGAGCAGTGGTATTTAGTTCTATAAAAATAAAAGATAGGAAATAGAACAATACTTGCTCTTCAATTTCCATAAACTCTTTGGTGAATCACTGCATATTTTCTGCTGTGAGGCTTCCTCAGGGTAAGGCACGGACCTGAACTGTGGATCCAGGGCTGTGGCTCTGTGCAGATAGTCCTGAAAATCAGGATTTACGTATCTGCCCTCCAGGTCTCTAGAAGTCAGAGTCGTGCCTGCTCTTAGTGTGGCTGCAATGGTATCTTTGCTGTTCTAACATCTGTGAAATATGTGGGATTTTTAATTTCTACAAGTATGTTTTAAGTAGTAACTGTCTGTGTGACTAATTTCTAAATACCGACACCTCGTCTTAGCTCTCCAGAAGTACACAGGATTTTAGGTTTAAGGCGAGACTGAGAAGACTTTCCTCACAGATTTGTCCTTTTTTCTTCAGACAGCATGGAGGATTGATATGCAGTGCCCATTTCTGTCTGCACTGATCTATAAAAAGCCCACAATGAGAGGGACTGCTGCTTTGTTTACCGATAGGAAGCGGCTTAAACACGCTCTCTGTGTACTATTTCTAGTCTGCTTCCCTCCATCGCTTCTTAGTGAGTCTCAAATCTCCAGACAGTCGTACTTTAACACACCCAGGGAGTAAAACAAGAAAACGCGGTCCGACTCTCTGATGTAATTTGTAATATCTGTTTACCACTCTCCTGAAGTCACCAGAACGATCAGTATGTCTGTGTCAGCTCGACCTTCTCCATGTCGTCATTCCAACTAGTTGAGTCATTTCAATCATGAAAACTGCACCTCAGATTGTGCAGTCTTCAGTCCTCCCTCTCGCATTAGTCTGCACGTTGCACAAAGACCCAAAGCAGGCTGGGGGCGTTGCTGACAGTGAGGCCTGGACACCGTGTCCATGGCTGTGAGCCGTGTGCGTGTGCGTGTGTGTGTGTGTGTGTGTGTGTGTGTGTGTGTGTGTGTGTCCGTCCGTCCGTCCGTCCGGGTGGACAGCAGCCAATAGTGGAGGAACTCTGGAGGATGTCCCAGTGTGTCTCTTAGCTCAGAGTCTGGCCTTGCATTTTAGGAAACGTCGGGTTTAGTGTGTGTGTGTGTGTTTAAACAGCTTGCACACGCATGATGTTATGTGGCCCATATTGATGGTAAAATTATGAAATCTGTCAGACATTTGAATGATCATTGTTACTGCACAGACGTGACCCAGCTCGTGGTCTCGGCTTTACACGCGTCCAACCGATACGGTTCCACAATAATTCACTCTGCTTCCGTCGTAAAGTTGGAAAACACAAACTTTTATACCACAGGTGCCACAAGCAGGTCAAATCCACTGAATTTTCTTTTCTAAAATATAAACTAAACATGACGGGAGATGGTCATGCAAAACCATATGACCCCACAGCTGAAATAAATTAGTAAGGTGCAGTCTCTTAAAGTGACAGTACATAATTACCAAAGAAAGATGAATGAAACAACTTATCCTACACATGAAATATAACCTAAAATCAAATTGAATAAAAACTGTGATGTACATCTTCTAGGAATATCAAAGAAAACTGTGAGAAAAATAACAAGCTAATCCTTGCTTCATGCATTGTCACCTGTGATTTATGAAGTTTTTCTTGAATAATACAGCATGTAAGCTGCTCTACTGCGAATATTTTAATTGCCAAATACAATACCTGAAAAATATATACAGCGCCGCTGGTTCACGTTGCGACGGGCAAATATGTAGCTCAACCCTCACCGAATGTGAAGTTCCACACCTTTCTTATCGTCTTGCTGTCCTGTAAAATTAGTAGTGATACACAGAGGCAAGTTGGAGCTTGAGAAGTGTGTGAATTGTTTGATCTATCGATATGTTTTCTGCTTTGACTAATGAAGCTTGAAGACGGCAAAACAGGTGGCTAATGGTGCTAACTTAAGAGCTTGAACTTGCATCAATCACTTTCATTTGTTTCTTTTCCTTCTGCCTTATTGTAGATGTTAAAGATGATAGCCTACTGATACATTAACAACATTATTCATTATGCCATTATTCACTCATACGTATTTGCCTTGTAAAGATAGCATAGCATGATATCAGTTGAGTTTTGAAGCGCTTGTCTTCTGACAGAGAGCACGAGAGAGATGACTGTATGATATCAGGTTTAAGGCACTTCTCGGTGTGATGAAGAATGGAGGCATCAATATGTATGCTCGGCGATGACGGCGCTCCCCAATTCCCACATCTTGCTTCCGTGTGTCCTCATATAGAAACTCAAAGAGGATTCACACTTTTTGTTCATTTTCTGGGTTTGTGGTCTTTCGCTCGTCTTGTAGTCTCTCCACGTCCTCTTCTTTTCCCTCCCCTTCCCTCTCACTTCAACCCTTTTTATTTTCCCATCTCTTACTCCCTGGAAAGCAAGAAGAGATAAGTATCCTTTCACTTTTCTCTCCTGTCTGTATTGTCCCTTAATACCCTGCATTAATGCAGTTTTCTCATCTTTCCCGCGTTTCACCGAACGCGCAAATCCTGCGGCCCTCAGTCCCAGAGACACTTAAAAAGCCAACTCTACTGAGACATGATTTTTGTCAGTTATCATACCTCTGACTTGCTAACGTGTCTAAGAACAAGACAATGGGGTTGCTGGATCTCGCCGTCCTCCTTCTATTCTAGGAAAGCCGTCTTCTTCTCTCCATCACAACAAGCCTCCTAACGCCGCAGTGGCCCGGCGAGCGCAGCGGCAAAAGCTGAGCCAAACTCATTTACACCTGAACGAGGCAGTCCAGAGAGGAGGAAGCGTTTCACACACTCCACTGACATGACTGCCCTCCCCTTTTGCAATGAACCCTGTGTGACTCCAGCTCTTATTGTGTTTTATCTCCTCCCTTCTGTTCTCCTTTCTCCTGTTTTCTTCCTCTTCCTCCTCCTAATCCTTTCTTTCAGAGTTTACACACCCAGTTGTGGTGGCAGTTGCTGTGGAAACGGTTAAGATGACTTTTTGGTGGGTGGTTAATTGTTGACCGGCAGCTTTCTCACTAGTTTGTCGGCCGAGGGCTTGCCCTATGCAAATGATGTGTCGTCCTTCTGCCTGTCAGAGCTGTTGGCAATACTCACAGCACAGATACAAGCTGCAACTTGAGGCTTGAACTGATGCACTGCTTTGGAGAAAGCTGCTGCAGATTAGAAATCAGCCACCTGGTGCTGTTTGGCTTGTTAGAAAGAGCACGACGCAGTGGTTGAACACACGTATACTTAATTGGGCTCCAGGTTAACACATCATTAGGTTAAAATGACCCTAATTTGGTTCTTCACACACATTCAGATTTGATAATCGTAGTGCGCTCTTATTTTGAAATAAAGGCAATCCACGTGGCTAGCTAAAATCATAATTAACCCTCACATGATTGGCTGACTGCTGATCGTGTGTATGTGGGAGGATGTAGTGACGACTGCACTGGAAACCTCCCAGTCTCATCTTGTTTTTTAGCATTCTTACTTGTGTTATTGCGTTTTACGTTGTGCTGTTATACAATTCGTTATTATGAGTGAATGTGGCTCGACCGTGAGAGATGTTCACACGGTTACTGTGGTTTTCCCTGTTGCATACAGTTGGTGTTGTAGTATTGAGTTTAAGTATGACGCAACCGGTAAATCTCAGGTGAAAATCCCTTCTCATAATGTCAAAGCCCATGTTTTCTGTCTTCCTCGGTTTTAACAGCCAGACACATTTTACCTTAATCAAAAAAACTGCAGCTCCCGATTTGGGATTTTGATAATATTTTGATTAAATCCCCAGTATCAACATTTTCATTGTCCTTTTTAAGAAAAGGAGACAGTCGTATCTGATCAATTCATGTAAGGACTTC